GTCCCAATACCATAACATAAATCCTTTACCTCAAGACCTACTGGACCTAATCCATAGCAAACGTTGCTCTAGGCCCTTTGGCAAAGAACCAGGCATCCTGATGACCGGAAACCGTATAATTATTATTCCAAACAGGTAAAAAAGAAATTGGATACTTTTAGAACCCAATCCTACAATTCCTACCTCTCCTCATTATCCGCTAGTGATAACTTCCTCTGGAATGTAACCAAAAAAATCCTTAAATTCCAGTCCATTTCCCATCCACTTCGCCGTGATGATGGTTCCTGGGCTTCGTCAGATGCGAATAGAGCAGAAGAGTTGGCTAAACATCTATCCTACACATTCACCCCTCATCCCGAACTCCATCCCACCCACACTGCTGAAGTTGAAGAATTCCTCTCTTCACCAATTCCTCTCTCTCTACCTCCAAAACCTGTTAACCCCTCTGAGGTCAAATTCCTTATAAACAAATTAAAACCCCGAAAATCCCCTGGATATGATCTCCTCACTTCACAAATCCTCAGACAACTTCCCAAAAAAGCAATCATATTCTTTACCTATCTATACAACTGATTCCTTCGCACAACCAACTTTCCTTTTGTGTGGAAATATTCGATAATCATCCTATTTCCAAAACCAGGTAAACCTGTTAATAACACATCATCCTATAGACCGATAAGCTTACTCCCGATCCTCTCAAAAATCTTTGAGAAAATACTTCTCAAACGCATCCTACCCATAATCGAATCCCACAACATCCCTTCTCATCAGTTTGGATTCCGCTCAAGACATTCCACTGTCCAACAAGGCCTTCGTGTTGTGGACCATATATCCTCTGCACTTGAAAACAAGCATTATTGCACTGGTGCCTTTCTGGACGTAGCACAAGCTTTCGGCCGGGTGTGGCACGATGGCTTGCTTTTCAAGCTCAAAACCCATTTACCCCAATCCTTATACCTAGTCCTCAAATCCTACCTCTCAAATCGTTCCTTTCAAGTCCGTTGTGACACCGAATTCTCCACTTACTATCCAGTTGAGGCTGGTGTTCCACAAGGCAGTGTGTTGGGCCCAGTTCTCTACATCCTCTTCACTTCCGATATCCCTTCAAATTCCAATACATTTCTAGCTACATTTGCTGATGATACTGCCATTCTATCCTCCCACTCAGATCCTCATATAGCATCTCTAAACCTACAATCTCACCTCTTCTTGATTGAGCAGTGGTGCAACAACTGGCGCATCAAAATCAATGAATCAAAATGCAAACATATCACTTTCACCCAGCGACGCAGATCCTGTCCGCCAATCCTTTTTAATTCAATTCCACTTCCCTACTCAGACACAGTCCGTTACCTTGGCTTCCTTCTTGACGAAAGACTAACTTTGAACCCACATACCAGACTTAAAAGACAAGAACTTAACCGACGATATGTCCAGCTGTATAGATTACTAAGTAGGACATCCCATCTTTCGATTGAAAATAAACTTTTATTCTACAAGACCATACTGAAACCTATCTGGACCTACGGACTTGAACTGTGGGGAACTGCTAGACATTCGAATATCAAACGCATCCAATCCTTCCAGTCCAAAGTACTTAGAACAATAGAAAAGAAATAGGAAAAAGTTGCTGTCACATCTAAGGCATATACCTATCTTAAATACTTATTATCAGTTTCGTACCACTTTTCGTTTTTGAGCTAGTGTTCACATACGAACACACAGACCATTTTTCGGAACTTGGTTATTTGGACTCAGGGCACGGGCGGATCTACGGGGGGATAAACCATGTTTTATCGAAAAAAATATGAAAAAATTATCTCTTAAAGTATAATTATTAGTGTAATTACATTTAAAAGGGCTTTAGGAATCACTTAAACACCAGTTATATAGGTAGTTAGTTTCTTTCTAATTTCCAAAAACAATTGCCGGTATTTTTATAAAAAAAAAAGCTTTCGGGCTGAAGCCTCCCTCCCCCCAAAATGGTAAAATATAAGCATGTTTTATCGAAAAAAATATGAAAAAATTATCTCTTAAAGTATAATTATTAGTGTAATTACATTTAAAAGGACTTAAGGAATCACTTATGCACCCTTTCATATAGATAGTTAGTTTCTTTCTTATTTTCCAAAACAATTATCGGTATTTTTATGAAAAAAAAGCTTTCGGGCTGAAGCTCCCCCCAAAATTAAATCCTAAATCCGCTAGTGACTCAGGGCACACCAAAACGTGTATTGCCGTTGAAAACTCAGATTCAAAAATTTTCACGATTTCAATACTTACCCTTACTATATATTACATATATACTTCAGTGAAAGTGATACAAAGTAATTGGGATTATTATATTGACATGTAAAGAAACTAACCTGATATAGGTAAGGGTTATCTAAATAATACCCGAGAATATAAACTAAATTCAATTTTTGAAACAGTATTTATGGCAGAACTAGGAACATCTACGATTTTCGTTGGAATTATTCCATATTTATTTGTATAGATTACAGCGATATACATATTAAAATTTATATATATGCGAGTACTTAAACAAATAATAATATCCACAATGAAAAATAAATCAATGTAGCGTTTATAATTTTTACTTTAACTTCTCCTTTGTTTGAAAATACTTTTTTCTGCTAAGAGGGTAAATAAAATTGTGTGATGCGCGCGACGCACCAGCTTTTTTTTTTAAGGAAGGGGAAGGTGCCCATTCCCTCCTCCCCTCCTCTGCCACAAGGTTGATGGCCCATGTACCTCTCTCTCTCCCCCCACCCAAGATATTTTTTGCTGTCTTCTTCATAAGCATGGGAGTGGGGTAGCTCAGTGGTAGGGTACTGAGCTTCCAATGCTACAGATCCCAGGTTCGAATCCCGGCTCATGGCAGAAAAATTATTTATTCTGTTTCATTGGCCGTGGGGCGACACTGGGTAGTTAGACCTTCCTGGGGCATACCCAGTCTCTACAAAGTGGATACCCTAAATTAAAATAATTAATTAAGGGGAAAATCTTGGTGGTCGAGTGTGATCTCTGTTAAATCACCTCCTTGCACAACCGTTGACCGAGAAACAGTGCTTTCCCTAAATAGTACTGAACTCAAGACACTTCATGGGTTGTAGTGGTACTGGTTTTCCTTTTTCTTTTTTTTTTTTCTTCCAAAGAACAGTGCAAGAAAAAGTAGAATTTTAAAAATAATAAGTCACATACAATGGCACTTTCAGTGGTCTGTACTTGGCTTTTCTCTTGTTCCCTGGTTTGAAACTTTTCATTTCAAAAATTCATAACCTCACCGAAATATGGCCCCTCAAAAATTTAAAACTGTCAATGCGCTCCCTTTAAAATTTTTAACCCTCTTGTGGGCACAGCTGGGTGCCTCCAACAATGACCTAACCTGCAATAATTCAACATCAGGAACAAAACTCGAAAAACTTAGTTTTAATTATTCTTACTTATTTTTAACTAAAAAAAAAAAAAAAAAAAAAAAAAAAAAAAAAAAAAAAAAAAAAAATATTCGCCTAACCAGTCAAACAATAATATAATATTGAGCAATGGAATAATTGACACAATTGTGGTTTAGTTTTACTGATTTTAAAATAGTTTTTATTTTGTCTTGTGATATAGAATCTTATACTTCGCAAGTACTAAATATTTTTTTCCTACTTGTTCTTTTTAAAAACCGTAGGAGAGAAAGGATTATATACTTAACTTATAATATTTTTCCATGGGTGATTACAAATAACAATTTTGAAGAGAGAGTTAACGATATACAGCATTTCATTAATAACTAACTGATGAAAATATTCTTCATTTTTCAGATTTTAAAACCAAATGCCACGCTCCTACTTATTTTGTAAAATGCAATTAAACTCTGTTAAAACAATTTTTGTTCACAAACAGATAAATATTAAAGTAATCAGGGAGTTTTAATGTTAAATGGAAGTTAAAAAAACGGGAAAACCTCTTGGTCAGGATTATCAGAGGGTACCTTTAGAGCAGGGCATCTGGGCACATACTTCTTCATTCCATGCCCAATCCAAATCATTCTACACTCAATAGTTGTACTACTTATAATTTTCATTTACCAATATACAGAAGTATACCCATTACTACAGTAAGTAGGATAGTAAGTGAAAGCAGTGTGATGCCTGCATACACTTGATTCTTCTTTCATAAGCAGGAACAGTGATTTTTGAGTAGAAAGATTGAAAATAGGATTTATTTAAATACTTACGTTCAGATTTTGTTAGGGAATTATAGTAGCATATCCAATGTTTTTTATTATTAACAAGCCAGCTTTAAGTATCATCATGCTAATTTTTTTTTTTTAAATTGTTTTAAAAATAATATTCAAGATTTATATACCACTTTAACGGCCATATGTCTACGCAGTCAAATGTTGGCAGGGGCTGGTAATATTTTCGAAGAATTAATTTAAACAAATTGTAACAATAACCCTCAGCGGTGGCACCACACACACACACGAGTGAGCGGCCACTAAAGTGATAATGAGATTCTAATTTAATATTATTGTTATAAACACAGAACTGGAACTACAAGGAGGTGCGAGGGAGACACATGCTTTGATTAGCAGAATTTAGTAGAGGGCAAATCTTCAGAACTTGTATTTTATCTTAGGTAAAAATATATCTTTCTAAGGTATAGGTTGTTTACAACCTAAAGATAATATTAACTGATGATAATTATTTTGAAATAAATTACCATAAATACCGATATAAAATGTTGATTTTTTTAGAGGATGGTGGGAGGTAAAATAAAGAATTGCAAAATAAGAATGATTCTCATGATAAAAATTCTGGTTCCAGCCCTGTATTAGTACAATAATAAATTGGAAGTGATGGATATTTGATGGTAAATCCAAAAATAATTTTGTGAGGATCAGTCTGTTGAAAATACAATGAAAACTAACTAAAAAAATTTCTTTTTTTTTTTTTTTTTTTTATATCCCATCTTCAGGAGTAGAATTAATAGATTACATCTGAATATATATATTTTCACCATGATTATCCCTTACAAATTATTATTTGGAAAAATAATGATAGTTTTAAAAATTAATGTATATATTTAAAACATGTTGATTATAAGTATAATTATTTGCAAAGATAACACATTAATAAAAGGTAAAAAGAAATAATGTGTTGCTTTTATTTGAAAACAATATAATTGAAACTGCCAAAAATCCTTTACAGGTACCTTTCTCTCAATATAAAAATAAAACTTTTACAAAAACCAAAAAATGGGCATAAAAAAACAAATATCACAACTGAATACCAATTTTCATTCTAGTTACAGAAAATATATGTATATATTTACAGATTTTAAGGAATGGATTTAAAATATCTGAATCATAAAATTCAAACATTTAGGCCCTGAATAACTAGAGCTCTGCCCAGTAAATATTAAAATTAGGATATTCATAAAAAAGTACTCAAAATAGGAATATTTAATATAAGATTCTATTAGTCATTTTGTATCCAATTATTATGAGTACACATAAATAATAAAATTTTAAACTATACACATTATACAATTTTTTCAAACAATTCATTTTGCTAAATTAAAAGCAACTTACAGAAAACACTTTTATACACAATAATCAATATTATTATACACTTTGCATTAAAACAATAACTACTTATTATTTACAATATATAGTTATTTAAAATTAATATACACTATATACATTAATACAATTTTCACATAAATTACAATATTTACATTATAAAGAACCTGCTTCAATTATAATATACACTAATTAAATATTTACAAATTTAATATATTCTTCTGGGAATGTTTTAGATGTATTTTTTTTTTTTAAGTTATTTGAACTTAGTTTTTAAAATACTTTTTCCAGCCAATGCTTTACTATTAAATGGCACAGTTTTTGGTATACGTTTTATTATTAAATTCTGTTGTTGTGACTGTTTTAAAAATTCTGTGATAGAAATTGCATTAGAACTTTTACTATTGTTTGATCTGTTAACAAATAGATCAGCAGGTTCAGTTTCTTTACAGTTATTTTCATTAATATTTTTAATTTGAAAAGAAGACTCTTTAGAAATGTTTGTGGGTACGAGAGGTATAAAACAACCTTCATTCGAAGAATTAGAACCACTGCTTAATCTAAAAAATGCCTTATGACTACTCCCATTTGGAGAAGGTGTTTTATTGATTTTGCCAAAATGATCTTCCTGGATATTTGTTCTTTGCAAGAAAGCATTTGGTTTTTTAATAAGATTTGAATTAATAACAATACCCTGGTTTGTGGAAGTAACATTTTTTTCTAATAGAGAAACAGAAGAAATTTTGGTTTTCTTAAAAGGAATCTCATCACCATTATGTTTAAGTTCAGTTGCATCAACTATTATTCTTGTTTTAGAAGGATCATCGGGTTGTTTTATTTCTAACGAAGAATTAATAACATACTGCTTAGAAACATTTTGATTGAGATTAGTAATATCTACAAGAAATCCATCTTTGTTAATGATTTTTGATGGATTTTCTAATAAACTTTTATCAAACAGCTGAGAATGTTTTAATATGCCTGGTTTGACAATCACCCATTTAAGATTGACAGCAAGTGATTCAAATACAATACGATTTTTAAAAAACCTATTAAGCCATTTATTAGCTGACTCTATATCCTTAAAACAGTGGAAGACATGTTCACTTAAAGGATCCTGAACTTGTAATTTCTTTTGAGTGAATTCTTTAACAGGCAAGTATCCAAATCCCTGAGTTAGGCATAATAAACCATACTTAGGCAAAGGTTTGTTATTATCAACATCTTTGGCCTCTTTTACATTCAATGAAGATATGATCTCTTGGTCCAATAAATTAGGGGCACTGTCGCTTGATGCCTGTTTGATAATAGTTTTAGCTGGAATGCCACATGTTATTGATCTATAATTTCCCTTACCATCAAAATGTGCAGGACCAATTCTATAACGTTTTTTTGCATTTTGTAGTAGTATTTCATCTTTAATATTAGTAATAACAACCGAGCCTGGTTTTGTTGCATCAATAACTCTTTCATCATCTGGCTCTTTTCTTTTTCGATTTTTTACTTCAGTAGTAACATTGTGAATGATATTTGGGGGTAAAAGTGGCTTATTGATAAGTTGTTTAGTCCAATTAGATGTCATTTTAATGGGAGGTATGATTGTGTCAGACTCTTTTGCTGTTTTTGGTTCGATCTTACGTGGTTGTGTATTAATAGAAGCATAGTCAATTTTTAAAAAGCTATTAGTATTTGATAGTACATCATTTACTATTTCATTTGATCTTTTAGATTTAAAAACAGGATTACTATTTCTTAACTTATAATTAAATACAGATCCATAGGTTCTAGCACAATAAGCATTTCGGTCGTAAATGTGGTATTTGGGCATTGATTTATTAATTACAATCTCAGACATATGCTTTGAAGTTAAATGAGTTCTGCTTGCAGTAGGTTTCCATACTAGCCTGTTACTTTTCAAAATAAATACTTGGGCAGAACATGAGCAACTGTACCGAAAATGAATTGAGCACCAAACAAAGACATCCGCCAAAGTTAAGATTTGGTTTCTTTCATCATCACACATTTTAGCCATTTTCTTTAATTCTGATTGGTTTAATATTTGATTTAAATTTGCTGATATTAAAGCTTTATTTTTATTATCTGCCTTTTTACCACTAGTTTTTAATGGTAAAGTAATTTTGTTACCTGATATTTTGCCAATTTTACTGTCACAAATTTCATTACTTTTTAATTCAATATGTTTTCCTCTGATTTTATCTTCTTTGGTTTTTATTTCTTTATCTCTATCAGCCATTTTAGCCGATTTTTCTTTAAATTTGGTATCCTTATCTTTCTCTTTGATTTTGAAATCTTTTTCCTTAATTTTGGATTCTTTGCTTTTGATTTCTTTATCCTTGTTAGGAGATGGGGATTTCTTATTTTCAGGACTTGAAGGAAATATGTCCAAGCAACTCATTTCTTTACCCAACAAAACATTATTACGAAATCTAGTTGGTAACTTTTTTTCCCGTTTAGATTTACCAGCTCCAGCCTTCACCTCTACTACTTCATTATTTTGACAGATTACAGTTTGGTGCCAACTAGACTCATCTTTAGCTAAAGTACCATTTCTTCCATGCTGCATAAAATTTTTAAACGTATAATTACTTTTAGAATCACATGAACATTCAAACATACATCCTAACTTCCCACAATGAAAACTTGTCAGTTTACCATTTAAGCTATTACAAATGCAACCTTTTAAACAATGTTCATTGCCACATGAGCTTTTACCAGTAGCACCTTCGTTTCCATGGCGATTATCAACCAAAGTTACATTTATAAGTCTCTTTAATTCTCTTTCCACTTTAGTTTTCTTGACTTTTTTAACAGGAAGTTTTTTAGTTAACTTAGGGTCGGGAACATCTGGGTCATAAGGAATGTTGAATAACTCATACTCATTCCTCTTTACTACGTATTCAACGATATCATCAACAATATCTTTAATTTCAACCTCAACTGCATCTGTTTTATCTTCTTTTAATGCTCGTGAATCACAAATACTACGATATACAGAACAAACATTTAGTTCATTCAAGTTTCCAATATTTGTTGAAACGTTTTCAATATTAAATTTAACAACTTCAATTAATGGCTCTGATACAACTGGTACTAAATATCTTGTAACAGTTTTAGCAGATCTATTAGAACAGACTGCAGATGCTGCTATATGTGCCCACATATCATCTATAATCACTGTATCTTTCTTTAATTTTTCTAAATTGTTAGAAACTTCTCTGAGAAATGGTCTATTATAACCAATATTAACTACCATAACAAGTTGTGTCTGATTAAATTTAGCACAATCAATGTGTTCATCATCAACAGAAGTACAGGGAAAAACCAATGGAAATTTATGTCTTGGTAATGAATTAGTGGATGCATTACATTTTTCTTCTACATCATCAATCTGACATTTATTCAGCAACGACAAATAAGGTTTCCGAGGTTCAACTTCATCAGATTGATTTGATTCAGAGCTATCAGAAAGAAGGGAATCAGAGAACTCTAACTGCTTAGTAATTTTCATTCGTTTAACATCATCTTCTTTCTCAACATCGTCTACTTCGGATAAAGAATCACTACTGGCATTGCGTTTTTTGGTACTGCTATTTAATGGAGCTTTTTTGGTTTCGTGATCTAACATAATAGGCCTACCATGGACCCAAATAAACTTCCTTTTAGATAAATCACCTTGCATATTCTTAATAAAATCAACTGAAGAGAGCTGTTTTATTTTTTCTTTCATTTCTTCATTTTTAATTTTTGGTGGAGCCATTTTAATATCAGGGAGAATTTGTGGAATAGGTCGTTTATCATTAGAAAATCGGGTGTAATAAGGTTGAGGAATGTCAAAATTAATTTTTAATTCAGTACGATTATTTAGATAATTATCTAAAACAGAACTTTCAAAAATTCCTTTATTGGTTTCTAGTTTCTTTAAAATTTCCTGAACATCAAAATCTTTTGATAAAACATCCAAGTACATACTTTTAAGACTACTGACAATGTAATCAATACCATTTAAATTTTTCGCTTTACATTTTGACACGTCTAATTCTTTTTCTGAGACATTACCAATATTTCCAGTTTTAAATTCTTCACTAACATCAATTTCTGTTTCTTTCTTTATTTCAAAACTATCGTCTAAGAGTTCTTCCTTAATCTCAGGACTAGTGTTTTTAAACTCATCAGAAAGATTATTCTTCACTGGACTAGTGCCCACATTTTTGAGGGTGTTGATATGATTCCTATCAGTTTTGTTCATACAAAAAATTTTGTTTCTCCATCCTTTTATTTTAGTAATATCGCGGGTTTTAGTGGGCACGATCCTTCCAGAATTTGATAAGTTCACACTATCTGAAATAAGACCACCTTCAATGCCCATTTTTTTATTTTGGAACAATGTAAACTCCATCATATCAGGTTCACTTTCGAAGCTAAAGATATTAATGCCATCAATGACATCAATTTCTTCTTTTCCTGTAGTTAAAGCTAGAAGATTATTTTTTGAACAACTTCCAGCAATCTTATACGAAGATGCAACATTTTTATAACAATTGCTAGTGTTTAAAATAACAGCATTTTTATAATGAATATTTTTACAATCAAACAAATTTGGTAGTGCACTTATCTTTTCCATACCTCGCTTCTTTAAAATATGTAAGCTTTCAATATTATTAATCACCAATAGATCATCATTTGACAAAAGGTATTTAATAACTTGATCATAGTCTTCATGAATGCAAACAGGACCAAATATTTCACATTTAACCATTGATATTATTTTTGAACAATTGAAATTACTATTATATAAATTGCAAATTTGGCAAAGAACTTTAATTAAATGTCTTCTTTTCCACTTGTCGACACATCTCGACATCATTTTACTTACAAGCAATGATTTGTTTTTGGGAAACCTTAGTACCTTGAGGCAATAAAAAAAAAATCCAAAAAATAACAAAAACTCGGAATAATTGGAGCACAAAAACAATGACTTTTGTCTTAATAATTTAAAGTTTACACAATCATCAACTAAATCAGTACTTAGTGCTCTTATGTACAAAGATAAAAAACAACGAAAGTAATATCGAAGATTGGGATATGTCAACTTTTTAAAACTACAGGCATTGATAAAATATTTTTGATGATTAACTGAAACTTCATCAACAAAATAGCAATAAACACTAATGCATTTTTCATACAAAGGGTCACACAATTTATAAAATTCAATTTGTAAATAATAAAGTTCAGGATATGAAACATTATTTACACGAGGAGTAACCTCAAAATTTTTATGACTCTTAAACCTGTGTAGCATGTCCAAAATTTTTTCACCAGAAGAGTATTTCAACGAACTAACATCAAATATCTTATTCCATATTTTTTTTTCAGCTTTAACAATTTTTTTAAGAATGTTATTGTGGTCAAGGTGATTGTGGGAGTAAATGCAACCACAAAGCATATACCGTTTCTTCTTAAGAACTGTCTCTTTACACAAACAACCCATGATACATGCTTTGGGTTCTAGAGGATAAACAGTAGAATATAATAAATTGATTATGTCTATAATTTTTAAAGACGCTGAGGAAGTGCCATTTACGCAACTGCAAGATTCATATTTTTCAAACAAAATCACATTCTTGAAATGAATCAGACATTTGTCACAAAAATAAATATTTATTTTGTTCTTAAAATAAGATCTTAAAGAATGTAAATAAGAAACTAAATGAAGTAGTTTAATTGCTTTACCAGTATCGGAGTAAATAATGGGTCTTTGAAAATCAGAAATATTTCTTACACTGTATTCACTGACATGATAGTTAAACACTTTGTTGTTAAGTCTTTCAGTTAAATTGGTATTTTCTGTAGGAACATTTAAAAGAATTGGTTCCTGTAAAACAGCTGTTTTCATTTTTTAATAAGAATATTTTCACCTAAGTAACCTAGTGGGATCCTCTATTTTTAATTACATTATTTGTAATACATTGAAAATGAACTTTTTCGGAAGAAATAGTAACTTAAATATTACACTTACATTTACAACTTCTATTCCATGGATAATACGTTTCCTTTTCATTCTTTTACTCCAAACTCTTGTATGCTAACGGACGAAAACGTAGACACTTATTAAAACAGACCAACAAACTTTCATTTCTTGAAGAGACAGGGTCGAGTCCATCACACCTCAGAAGCAGTTTAACTCTTTAGACAAACAGTTCAAATAGTTTCAATTACATATCTTCTAATTCACCACAAAACAAGCACTTCCGCGATATCCAGAAGTATTCAGTTCCTGTTAAGCAAAACAAATCGAAGTAAGTACAATGGAAACAGACGAACCACAGGAAAACATTTTAAAAGATCTAGTTAGAAAGATGTTGATTTTCCGATCTAGCAGGCTTGTTCTTAACTTAAACAACGAACGGCGCGAGAGGAAACAGGGGCCAACAGAATCGTAACCTACTCTACAAAAAGGTTATAAGTGTTTATTGTTTGTAAACTGGCAAATTTGAAATTGTTTGCAAACCTTAGTATAACCTTCACCTAAGATTGAATTTCTTTTGACAGAAAGTAGCTTTTAATTTTTTTAGGTTTGCCTGTTATAGAATGATTCTTGGTAATCTAATGGACTTCAAGTCCTTAAACATTTTCCTACTTTTTTTTTGTATTATTATTTTTATTTTTTAATAATCATCAAATCATAACATTAGATATATTTTGTTGCGATTAATTTAAGTTAAGATGAAATTAATGGACTTAGTACTTAATTATAGTACACTTAACTTGTTCCTTAAGTATATTAATATTGCTATTCAATTGAAATTATATGTTTCAGATTTGTAATAAAGTGTTGTAAATTAATGTACTTGACATGTATTAAGTACGTAGTTAAAGTACACTTAAATTGTTCCTTGAGTATATTAATATTGCTATTCAATTAGAATTATATGTTTCAGATTTGCAATAAAGTGCTGTCAATTAAAAATTATAGACACGTTTATTTGCATTGGTTGATAAAACATTTATAATGATGTTTCACAAAATAAATCGTCGTTTATTGCAAAATATGTTACGGGTTTAGTAACATTTTCTGAAGTTGAATCACGACAAAATTTGGTGAATTTATTCTTCGTTAAATCAAAACATTGCGGACTTCTGTAACTATTTTTGACATATAAATAGAATTAGACATTTTAATGCACATAATGAGCATTTGCATTAAAAAATACGGTAAAAATCCACCAACGCGTACTTAAAAGTTAAGCTCGAAAACAAGCAAAAAAAACCGATGCTATTATGGTGAACAGATTTATTCTTTATCGCCACTTATGATAACAGTCATCTCATTTTTATATTGATATTTAGTATTTTTGTAATAACAGTTATAGGTTAATTTTATTACCTGTATAAACTCTCGTTAAAAAAAAAAAAATGAAAATGTCAGAAAGATCATTCTTGGTTGTCAGCGCCATTTAACAAGAGTTGTATTTATTAGTTATTAACTCAACAGTAGTATTCACATGAATAAAAAGAGGTCATATCCTAAATTAGATGAAAATGGCAAGTTCATGTTTAGTTCTACACTATATTTCTTTTTCTATCTAGTTGTATAATTCGATAAAAATTTATTTATATTATTAGAATAAATATGGCTGAGCCATATTACATTTCAATAATATAACTTTTCACACTACTTTTTTTTTTTTTTTTTTTTTCTTACCCTCCAAAATGTTTATTGAAACAATGTTTCACACTACAATAAATATCACACAACATAAATGCATATCAAATCACAATATCAATGAGAGTTTTCAAAAGATCATTGAGATTATAACTTTAGTTATTTATTTATTTTATAGCATTTTTAAAAGGTAATGAATGTTAATTATAATTCTCATTACTTTTGTTAGGTATATTTCAAAACAGGAATTATAAAATACTATATTAAAGTGTTAAAGCAAACTAAGATAAAAACAGTTAAAATTTTAAGTTAAATATTAATGATAAAAAATGTTTTTAGAAAGTAGAAATAAGAATTCTGGCAATTTAACATTACAAAGTATTTTACTATAAACCTACTTTTAAAACAAATGAATCAGTATATCTACTAATTTTATTTGGCTAATGGTTATTAGCACTTCAATAGCTAGATGCTGATAATACTTATTATTCTTTACTGTATTATCCTTTGCTTGATTATCTTACTCTTCATAAGTTATTTATTAATAAAAAAAAATTAATTTTTCACCATTAACAATAATATAGGAGGTTAAAGAAAATGAATTAATTCGCCTTAAATAAATAAATTTTTAATGTAATTTTTCATCAGCATCAACACAATGATGAAAAAGTGCCAAAATAATTTTCTCCAAATAATAAATACCATTTTTAAAAAATGGAAATATTCTGGAAATAAAGTTCATCAATTGCCTTCACTACATTTGATTTTACTTTCGTAATTCAAAGGAAATGTCTCATATTACTGCCTTAACAACTTAATAGATGGTAATGGTCAGTTGACTGTTGATACCTATCAATTAATTATTAATTTATTTTTTTATTGCCAACATCTTACTTAATTTTTTTTTCTTTTAAATGTTGCGACAATAATTTTTGTGTAAACGTTGAAATTAGTCGACATAGAACGACATAGATATATTCAGTAATATATTCCTGAATATAGCTACATTTACCACTTTAACAAATTTTGGATTATTTAATATTTTATTTATTAATATCTATAGAGCAATAAAGATTAGAATATATTTTTGTTTCAATATAAGCTAGAACAGAGTGATTCCTTGGGTGATGGTATTAATACCTTTAGATTAGTATCGTTTTTTTTTTTATTTTAATTTCATTAACGAATTATGATAAAAAAAATACCCAACCCTCTAAATTTAAAATGTGGAAAAGAAGCTGAATGAATCAGAACCAGCAAGATCTTTTTTTCAATACGGAATCCAGGTTATAAAGCACTACGCCCAAATAATATTTCATGGTAAACAGCCTTGTGTATTATTCCTTCTGTCTAGAATTCTTAAAATAAAAAAATATTCACTTTAATATTTTTAAAAAACGAACAAATCGATAAAAAAATTTATTAACAAAAATATTCATAAAGTAATAGCAATTTAAAAAATACAATAATCGGAGATTAAAAAAAGTTTTATTTTATATAGTAAATTAAAGGACTAGTGATGTCTAAATAAATAAATATGGACAAAAGCTCTGTATTTTCCTTTTCTAATGTTACTTATTATTATGTAACCATAATAAACGAGAGAACTATAGGGCGTAATGGCCGCCTGAAGTGAAATTTAGCTTTAGTAATTTTCCAATGGGTTATTATCCTAATCATTCAACTCCCTCCCGTCCACTCAAAAATGAACTATTAAAGTTGAAAGGTATTAGTTTATTTATACTTGGAAATGGGATCTACAATTTGTAAACTTTATATTAAATTAGAAAAGCAGCCACCAAAGGAATAAAATGTTATTGACGTATGGCAGTTTATGATGATCGTTCATCTTACATGATACATAGTGCTTAACTCACCTTCTTAACCAAACATGATATGTAGATTTTTATTTTTAAAATACAATTTTACTTATATAAAAAAATACTTTTTATTAAGTATTTAATAGCTTCAATGTTTTTTTTAAATTTTAGTTGCTAAAGACTGACATCACTGTCGACACACGCCACTAATTCATTCCATGTATTAATATTGATCAGTGATAACATCTCAGTAGACGTTTGGGTATTAATAGAAAGTTTTCAACTTAAATGAGACCTTTTATAAAATAAAATACAAATACCTTTATGAAAGTAAGTACGCACTCCAAAGTAAACTACGCAAAGTGAACTTAAATACACAATTTCCAATTAAATATTATAAGAATATCATAATTTTATAATATTTTTTTGAGAAAATACTGAAATTTTAAATCAACTATCTAGCGTCTATATACACTTATTGAAATAAACAAACCATTTTGATACCTGTTCAACTAACCTTCTTATTTCTACGCCATTAAATAATAGATAACTAATAAGCTAAAACATATTATCTATCGAATGAGATTAAGTAAATCATCGTAAATAAAAAAAAAACAATGGAAATATCACCTTTGAAAGGCAGGATAACCCTGAATTCATTCAAGCCAACTGTTATGTCCAAGTCACTAAGAATTTAACTAAGAGATACTCCAAAACAAGGAAATGCCGATAACTCGTTTCAAGTAACACTAGTGTGGATATAATAGACTACGAACTTAAGTAGGTATTACTTTTCTGTAAATCGATAGTGTGTTTTATCGGAACTATGAAATTAAATTATTACCAACATTATTTAATAACAATATTCCCTATAACGACCTTTTATTAAATAGGAAGTTTACCACGATTTAATGACATTAAGGCAACGACTAATCTTAGCATTTATCAAGATCCTCACAATTCATTCACCTCATTAAAAAAAAAAAAGAAATTAGTTGGAAACAACCCGGATGTGAATTAAAATCTGGCAGGAGTAATATAATACGATGATTTTGCATTACATATTTTAAATTTAGACAACCTGATGTTAGAAATCATAATTTTGTTTTATATATTTTAAATCTACACACATTAAACATTCTAAGTTGAAGGCCCCCACATAAAAACATATTTATAAACTAATGTAGATAAGTTATTATTAAAAAGGGAGATTTGTTTGATGAGTTTTTATATTTCATTAAATTGTTTATAAATATTTATATTTCATTTGTTTGTGCAATTTATAATTTCATAAGAAATTCAGTGAAATACAAATATAAATTTTAAAAAATAATATAATTTAAAAATTTAATTAAAAATAAACGTAATTTAATACCTCATATTTCCTTTGAAGATCCTAAAAAACCTGATATACTGTAAAAATATAGTGAGGCAATTCATAAAACTGAAATATGCACCAAGGATAACTAACTCTAATATATTCATATCCATATTATTAATTAAAAATCAAAGAAAACTAAAGACCCAGAGACCTATTTTATCAAATTAAGACTCAATTTAGATTATGTCTATAACTACTAGGTGGTCATTATGCTTATTTTTCCAATGTCCAAATTGATTCTTTTTTGAAAGGGTGTCAAAACATATTAAACAATAATTTTCTAGTATATTAGAAAAATTTCATTTCTTTATGTTTTGATATTTTTTCAGGTTTACATCTGACTTCTGCATTCTAATCATTACACTCTATTCTAAATAACCTTCCATTTAAACCTTTAGATGCAGAAGTAGATTTTGATTGGTCATCTATAAGCTAGATCCTTAAAAACTTAATTTATGAATTTTTATATTTGTGTTTACTAAGTTGAGCCATTATCTAC